CGTTGTATATTCTATGATGCCGATGATATAAGTCGAATATATATTCTTGATTCAACAATTGAAACAAATTATCTTGGTTGTTTATCGGGTTGTTATACATTTTTATCATCAAATATAATTCGTTCAGCTTTAATAGGAAATCGTCGTGATAGAAATGGTAATATAATAAATTCACAAATTGAATTAAATAAAGATTTACACTATTTTAATATAAAATATCAATTTCAATCAAGTGATGATACATTAATAACATCATTAACATTTTTACCAGAAAAAATATCAAATATTGAATATACTTATGGGTTTGATTATCAACAATATACATATTATTTACTTAAATCGTCACGTTTAGCACGATTATGTCAAGCATCGATTGCAATGCATATGAGTTATGAAGAAATTCCATTGATAAATTGCCAGAATAAATCAACAATTATTACAGGAGCTTTTTATTTAAATCAAAATTTTGATTATTTATATATTATTTATGAAAATACAGTTTGTGTTTATACAATGAATGAAATTATACGAGCATTCGCAGCATCAAAAATGCAATGTCAAAATGGTATTGGTTATCGTCTTGCACATATTATTGAAAATGATGAAGGTGGACGATCGAAATGTGAAAAAGTAATTGATTAAAATATTTGAGAAAGAAGTTTTGTATTGTATTTATATCTTAGACAATTGAACAAAATTTGAATGAAATCAATCAATGTACTTGGCAGCCTTATCGAATAAATACATATATGGATGGTACTGTCGGTGCTATTGGAGAAAGACTTTATCAAAGTGTAGATTCAAATGTAAAGATTATATTTATTTTTACCCAAGATAATATTGTCGTTATTGGTACAAGTCAACGACATGTTCTCAAGGTATTTAGATTTATACGATTGTCAGTTTAATCAGATAGAAATAATTGTGATGTCATTTACATTTGATCAGTTTCGCTTTAATGATTCATTCTGTTCTATTAACAAGAAATCAAATTCTATTTCTAGTTTATTCGTTCTAATCAAACTACTCTTCATCTTGTTCATGAAGCAATCTATTATAATGAACCATTTAATAATCAATATGTTGTTGATTACGAACATGAATCTCTTATATTTGCTGTTGGTATTGAGGTATTTTATCTTTTTATTTAAAATTTTTGTAAATCATTATTATTGTTTAGCTTCATCGTTATGCTTATAATTCATGTTCTCTCTATGATACATGTCAATCATGTATTGGTAGTCGACGTTATGATAATAAACCATGTATTTGGTCCAATGGTAGATGTTCTTTATCTTCTAATTCAAACATAAATGATCGTGGATGTCCATTAATAATTAATGAAGTTTGTTTTTATATTTAATTATTATCTGATGTTGAATTTATTGATAGATTCAACCAATGAATGCTGATGTAAATATAGAATCAATTACATTGACGATCACCGGTTCATTTGAAGGAGTTCAAGCACATTTAGTAACTATACTTGTGACATTTCCTTTATCAAATCAACATGATTTTATTTGTACAATTGAACATATACAAAATGACAGGTTTCTTTCAAAACAAAATATTTAATTTTGAAATGATCGTTTTCTTCTCTAGTTTAACTTGTAATTTAATTATTCCAAAACAACCAGTTCAAGGAATTATTTCAATAAATATTAAATCTGACAGGGAATTATCTATGGGTGATACTGATATTTTTGGTTCTGTTAATTTTCCAGAGAAATTTAATATTTATGTAAGGATATGAATTTAATTTCAAAATAAAACTTTTCATTTAGATTCCAAAAGCAATTCTCAAACCTGATTATGGTCCAGCTATTGGTGGAACAAAAATTCAAATAGAAAATTTAGATTTTAATCTTTATTCAACTGTAAAAATTCATTTAGGCAAACAAGAATGTCAAATATCAAAATATGATTATTCAACTAATGAAATTGAATGTATTAATCAAGCTTGTATGAATGATAAAGAACGACTGGAATTAAATATTCAAGTTAATAATCATCAATGGCAATTAGAAAAAACATATTTTCAATGTCGTGCTAATCCGATTATATTTGATTGGTATCCGAAAAAATCGATAATAAGGTATTTAATTTAGATTTACAAGATAAAACTTCAATCTGCAAATTTATTTCTAGTGGAGGAATGAAATTGATTATATCTGGTCAAAATCTTGATGTAGTACAAAAACCTATGATGAAATTTATTTATAATTCTTCAATTTTTGAATTTATTACAGTAAATTTCGAAAGGAATAAAAATAAAATATCTTGATTTGGTATTTTATAGGTATGTGAAATTATTTCAACAGCACAAATGATTTGTTTATCACCAATAATTGATAAAAATCTCGATTTAATTCCACCATTTGATATTCATGTATCATTTATTATGGATAATATGAAAATAATACCTGAACATGATATTTTAATAATTATTGTTGATCCAATTTATTATCCATTTGAAGATTCTATTCAACAAATAAATTCATCAAATATTGTTCAATTTGAAGTAGATAGAAGATTTTCATATTACGATATATGTTTTCTTGTATTCATAGGGATTAAATCTTACTGAAACACATTCAATTGGTGAAATCAATATAGAAATAGATAGCATTAATAATGCTTGTATTCCATTGAATTTTACTGATACTCAATTGTTATGTTTATTATCGAAAAATGCTATGAATAATTTTGAAAATTCTGATCTACATGTTCGAGTATGTCTCAGATTCGTAGTATATACGTATAATAATTCTGTTTTCTTAGATTCATGTAGGTGCTAATTTAACATTTTCAATTGGAAAAATTTTATTTCAAAATCAAAGTCAATCATTACCATTATTAACACCATACATGTCTGAACAATTTGGTCCAATGACAACATTAATTTTCATAGTTCTGTCTTCATTAACAATTCTAACTCTTCTCTTTACATTAGTAATTTTAACTCGTCGTCGTTTTTATCATGGTTCTCAAGAATTTCATAAAGAAACTAAACCACCACAATATTATCAATCAATTTGGTCGGAGTTGGGTAAAAGTCGACAGATCATTCGGAAAAATCTTATAATTCATGAAAAAGTTGGTCAAGGTTGTTTTGGTGATGTTTATCGAGGCGAATTAAAACAAAATAAAAATAAATCCCTTGAAGTTGCTATTAAAGTTTCACGTGATCAAAATGTTTCGTCAATGCATGAATTTTTATACGAAGCTAATCGTATGAAAGATTTTTCTCATCGAAATATTCTTTCATTAATTGGTGTTACATGGGATCCATCTCGTAAAGCAATGGTACTTTTACCATACATGAAAAATGGTGATTTAAAAAGTTATATATCAAATGAAAAACATCAACCAACTGTACGACAATTAATAACATGGGCTATTCAAGTAGCTGATGGAATGGAATATCTTTCTTCATTGAAATTTGTTCATCGAGATTTAGCAACAAGAAATTGTATGTTAGATGAACAATTAATATGTCTTATATCAGATTTTGGTCTTAGTCGAGATGTTATCGATCGAGATTATTATGTTGTACCAACAACAACAACAAAAGAGAATGATGGAAAATCAATTCCAATGATGCCAAGACGTTTACCTCTGCGATGGTTAAGTCCAGAATCTATTGAATCATCAAAATATACAATTCAATCTGATGTGGTTAGTTTGATTTATATTAAATTTTAAGATTTTATTTTTTGTTTTTTTAGTGGTCGTTTGGTGTTCTTCTTTGGGAATTAATGAGTCGTGGTAAAACACCCTATCCAGGTATTGATAATGCAGATCTATTGACTTATATAAAAAATGGTTATCGTCTTCAAAAACCAACATATTGTCCGCCTTTATTATATAAATCAGCAATGGCTCTTTGTTGGCATATTGATCCAACACAACGTCCAACATTTACACAACTTGCTCATGATATTCGTCATATACTTCATCAACTTGAAGTTGAACAACAACGAAAACAATCATCATCTGCTGATGATGATGATACAACTATTGTACAACGTTATCCAATAGAAAGAAAACTAAAACAATTATCAACAACATCATTATCATCTACGAGTAGTATTGGTGGACAATATATAACTACACCTCATCGTCAATCAGAAAATATACAACTACTATTTGATCGAAAAGAAGGTGATGATGATGATGAAGATGCATATGCAGTACCAGTGAATGCGAGTGCTGAAGTGTTTAGTACAACTAGACTATTACCAGAATATACTGAAACGAGCATTGTAGAAGATGTTTAATTGTGAATATTTAAATTTTTGTGTGCATTTGTGATATTCATCATTTTGTTTTTTTTATGTTAGTGTATTGTAACCTATGTTTTCTAAATTGTGAAGAACTTGTTTATATCAATTTATTTATTATTTATTTAGCAATATTAATGATAGTCGAAGAGTAATGGATAATTCAGAATTTCTATTCAATTTAAATAAATTCGACTATAATTGAATCCAATAATATTTATGTTAATATAGAATGTAATATTTCAATAAGACTCGCCATAATATCTACGACTATTGATTTTTTCAATCATTAACCCTTTCAGGACCGGCTTAGATTGAAAAAAAATTATAAATTTTAAACTTTTTAAAAATGATTTATTTTTGCCAGATTCATCAAAAATGTGAGGGTGTGGATATGGATATGTATACTTATCTTCTCCTAACCTATACCCACACCCGCACCCTAATAAAAGATTAATCAATAGATATTGTAAACTTATAATGTAAAATAAAATACTGTCTTAATACTTTCACAACTTCTCTAACATTATTTATTTCATTAAAATACTTTTTCGATACAAAAAGTTGATTATTGAAATTTTCTATAAAATTAGATATAATTTAATTCAAATTTAATTTCATACATATTAGAGAAAAATAAAATTAGTAAAGACACTTTCATGCTTATAGATGTAAAAATATTTATTTATTTTCAATGAAGTAGTCGAGCAATAATTATTGTACGTTGTTTTGAGCATTTAGCATTGTATAGTAAATTCCACCTTTTTGTATTAGTTCTGTATGAGTACCACTTTCTACTATACGACCCATTTCAAGTACATATATTAAATCACATGAACGTATTGTTGAAAGACGATGTGCAATAATAATTGATGTTCGATTAGGATCTTCTATTTGAGCTTGATCAAGAGTTTCTTGCACTATCTTTAATTACAAATGTTAATTATATATATAAAAGAAAATCAATTTACTTGTTCATTATATGGATCCATAGCACTTGTAGCTTCGTCTAATAACAGTATTTTAGGTCGACGAATAAGAACTCGAGCAATAGCAATACGTTGTTTTTCACCACCTGATAAAAAACTACCTTTTACTCCAACTTTTGTTTCATAACCCTATGACAATATAAGATTAAATTATTAAACAAAATCAATGTAATTTTATATTAATCGAACTTGAGGTAATTGTTGAATAAATTCATGAATATTAGCTTTAGTTGCAGCAAGAACAATCTCATTCATTGGTATATTTTCTAATCCATATGTAATATTTTCAGCAATTGTTAAATCAAATAAAACTGGTTCTTGACTAACAACACCCAAACGAGAACGAAGCCATTGAAGATTTAATTTTCGAATATCAACACCATCAAGAAGCTAGTTTATATTAATATCGTTTATATAAGTAATTGAATTATATATATAGAAAAGAGATACATACCAATTCTCCATGTGAAACATCATAAAATCGTTCTAATAATTGAACGATTGTTGATTTTCCACATCCGGATGAACCTAAATCGATTATATTATATGATTAAGACACTAGAAAGCATAATTTATTTAAACATACCAACAAGAGCTATACGTTGACCTGATTTAATAGATAATTGAAGTTTATTGAGAACAAGAACTGCTGGACGACTTGGATAAACAAATTTAACTTGATTAAAGTCTGTTTCTCCACTAAAGTTAGTCTAATCGATTCAAGATTAAAATTTATAATTGGAAGGCAAAAGCTTTTTTTTTCTTTTACTAATTCTTGTCCTTTATTCGATCCATTATCAATAGCTGGTGTTCGATCAAATAGATCAAAAAAAGCGTGAGCAGCAGCATATGATGCACCAATACGTTTTGCTCTGAAATGAAAATAATAAAAACGAAAACAAAATAGAAATTGTATAACTTACAACATTCCAACAACTTTTAGTGCTTCTAATGCGAACATTCCAAAAGCAGAAATCCTACAAAAATAAAAAAGATAACAAAACTTAATTTATAAATTATCACAATTCTTGTTTTAGTTACATAACAACATCGCTCATGTCTAGTTCATTTTTTTCAACAAGAATCAAAGCACGCCAATACAAGAGTCCTAAAGTCAATGGGCTCATTGCCCAGTACAATCCATGCATTGCAGCAAACAGTATCTCAGATCTCCAAGACATTCTATACAAAAGAAAATTTATTGAAGATTGAAGTCAATATCTGTAAAAAAAGAGAGCTATAATCGATTTTATTCGTTCATTATCGATATAAAAGAGCATGCTTTTGACAAAATTAATCGAGATTCTTTAAACTAATCGGAGTTTTGTTTATTATTTTAGATATATTTAGATTTTAATTTAGATCTACTATGACAAGAAAATAAACTTACTACAATCAAAACAACTACATCATCAAATTTCACTCAAGTTTTGATTTTACTATTATTTTTTCAGTTAGTTTTTACGATTTTTCAGATATACATATATAGATAGTATTCACAAGACTAACATTAATACTTGATCAATCATATTCGTATATTGTCGTAAAACTTCATTTTCCATTGATAATTGTTTTACTGTACGCATATTGGTAATAACTTCAACAGCAAGCTAAAAAAGACAAAACATAGAATGAATATTTAATAATCGTTTCATCAAATAATACATAATAACATAATTCTACTACACATTAAAAGATTAGAGATAACAAGATGACTTTACCGTGCTAGCTTGAGAGTGAATGAGATCAGATTGTGTTTTTAACCATGAACTCAACCGCATTTGAATAATAGTAATGATCATCATGATAACGAAAGGAATAAATATGATTATTGTTAATTGCCAGTTATAATAAAGGCCAAGTACAAAGCCAAAAAAAGACATGGATAAAGCTTGACAGATAACACCTAATCTTGAACCAGCCATGTCTTCAATAGCAGCTGCATTAGAAGAGAGTTGAGTACATATAGCACCAGAACTGTTTTCAGGTCGATCAAAATAAGCGGCTTCTTGACGAAGAAAACATCCGAAAGCTTTTGAACGAATGCGGCTAACTAATTTCGCTCCTGCGACTCCAAAAGCTACAAACTATAAACAAACATAAAAAACTCACTAATGTAGTTTAGAAATAATATGATTACTTGGAAAAAATTAAGAATCATAAAAACAGCGCCAGTAAGAAGAAATAAACCGCATGCAATTAACACTCGACGACGTACATCAGTGTATTTACAATCATTAAATTCCTAAATAAAAGAAAATTCGACAGAAAAAGACATCTTTTATCTTTTCTTGGAGTATTCATATGAATAAAATTACTTACATTAATTGTTGTTGCGAATAGAATCGAGAACGCTGGTCCACGTAATCCACCAAGTAAACATGCTAAACAACCAATCAAGATAAACATCCATTCAGGACTATTCATCTTCATGAGTCTTAGAAAGATAGATTTTTCTCTTGCTGGTATAGAAGCTCTCTAAAAATTTATACATTGATAATGATTTTTCAAAGTTATCAGATATTTATTTTTACCCGATTTATATCAATTGATTCGCTCTCACTCAATAATCGAGCACGTCCCACTATTCCAAAAAACAAAACAGACTAGAGTTTATAAAATATAATAATTATTAATATTAGAATAGTAATATACAGATTTGTTCTTCATCTTCAACTGCTGCTTTTGCCATATTCATCAAGCTATCTTGTTTATAAATCGTTGTTTCAGATTGTTGCATTTTGACCATTGTTTGATACTTACCTCCTTCTTTTGCCAATAATGTTTCATGTGTACCTTCTTCAATTACACTTCCTTTATCTAATACATATATGTAATCGGCATTTTGAATCGTAGTTAAACGATGAGCAATAACTATAGTTGTACGATCTATAGTATAATAATAATATAATCAATAGTCATTGAATAATTCTTACTTTTGCATGCTCGATCAAGTGCTTCTTGGACAATTTTTTCACTAACATTATCAAGTGCACTTGTCGCTTCATCTAACAAAAGAATGCTGGGTTGTTTGACAAGTGCACGAGCTAATGCAATACGTTGCTTTTCACCACCGCTCAATTGTATACCACGTTCACCAACAAGTGTTTCATATTTCTGCAAACAAAAATATTAACATATACATATAGATAAAGACAAACCTTTGGTAATTTCATAATGAATTTATGTGCATTAGCTTGTTCTGCAGCATGTTCAATCTCTTCACGTGTTGCATTCAATTTACCAAAACGAATATTTTCATAAATACTTATTCCAAATAGAATCTATTCTAATATAAAAGTTTGACAGAGACTAAAAAAGAAAACGAAAGAAACCTACAGGTTCTTGATTAACAACTCCAATATTTTGACGAAATTGTTTGATTTTATAATCTGTAATTGATTGACCATTCATTATAATTCTTCCTAAGGAAGGTTCATAATAACGAAGAAGAAGTGATACACATGTACTTTTTCCTATCAATCAATTTCAATATTAAAATGGTATGTTTGTTTTAGAAACAAAAAGATTTACCACAACCACTTGAACCTACAAGAGCAGTTGTTTGATTAGCACGAGCAACTAATTTAAGGTTATTCAAGGCTGTTGCATTTTCTCTAGATGGATAAGAAAAAGTAACATTATCAAATTCAATATCACCATTGATATTGGAAATCGATTTTTCATCAGATGTATTCTCTTGCAATATTTCTCTTTCATTAATATTTTCATCATGTGCCTATATCATAAAATAAATTAGAAAATATAATTACCAAGATTTAGTCTCTATAGTATTTAGTGTATTTTACCTCATCAATAAGTCGAAATACGGATACTGCTGCACCTTGAGCTTCCGAAATTGATTGGAAGAAAGGTCCAATTGAATTAAGAAAACCTAAAGCTTGTGCAAACATATTCACAACCTAAACAAAAGTTCGTTTTTCAGTTACTTTCTTGCATATTAATGTCATAGCTCACTTACAACAAGAATCTCACTAATGGTCAGTGTACGATGATTTCCATAAGACATAAGAATCGAACCAAAAGTGAAACCAATTGAATAAACTAGAAATTTTATAAAAAACAGCCAACCAGTAAAACTACCAAATGCAGCATCTTTGCGAACAGTATACCATTCGTTTAATTTTAATTCTTTTTCATATCTAGATAAAGATAAATATGACAGTAAAATAATATACAATAATCTGTAAATGTTTGTTTATTTATTTACTGTTTTTGCTGCCATTTACTTCCATTGAATGAAAGAACAGTTCTTAATGAACTAAATACTTCTTGAGCGATTTGTCCAGCTTTTGAATATGTACTTAATTGTTCTTCTGTTTCTTTTGTGATGATCTGTAATTATTGATAAAATTTTAGCGAATTAAATAATAATTTATACCTTAGCAAACATCACTGAACTACCAAGAATAATTGGAATCATACAAGACATAATTAAAGACAATTGCCAATTGAGAATAAAACATATGATTATACTGAAAATCATGGTATGAAGAAGTGCAATTGCTATTAAGAATTCAAAACCTATTCCGTTTTTGATCTTTTCAATATTACTGTAAAGAAAATCGATCATATATAATTGTTTGTTATAAAGTTATTTAATTTGCTTACGTAAAAAGCTTCGTATTGTAGTGAGTAGTTTGGTTTGTATCCAAGTAAGTCATGTTCTAAAAAATGAAAGAGAAATAATAGATTATTTTATCTTAGATCATAATTTAACAAGTATACGAGTGTATTAAAAATTATGAGTTCATCATTATCATTATCATTTTCTAATTAATTAGTTAAAACTATTTCTAAATTTTATCAATAATAAGATTCTCTGTTTTTTCTACAGTAAAACTACCTTCAACATGATCTTTGAGATTCATTCGTATTAGCATCTTCGTCTCTTATATATTTTGAATTGATTATTTTCATAATTTAATTGATATACTAACGATGTTTTTAGAATTATTAGTTTGTTGATTAGAGAAATATTTTGAAAAAAGAAAATGAGAAATCGAGACCAAAATGAGCTACTTAATTTTGTTTTATTTTTGACACGACGTAACAGAAATAAATACAATAAACTGTATTTTAACCAGTTTAATTGTTGATAATCACTTATTTTATGAGTATAAAAAAATCTTTTTACTTACACGTTGAATAAGTGATCGAAAGAGTAAAACGCTCATGCGAGATGTTTGTCGTTTCGTAGCAATTGTCCAACAGAAATATTCAAGAAAACAACATAGAAATGCCAAAATACTGAGACCTACATTGATATAGAGAAATAACAACTGGTTTGTTTTTTTAATTAAAATCATCCTATTCAACAAACTTACCAAAGAACCAGTAAATTAGATCCATAACATTGTCATGAAATAAAGGTGTTAATGGAGCTAATGTGGATGAAATAGTTTTATTATCATAATGGCATAGCCTACGAATGAAAAATTTCAAAAGATTCAAAATCAAAATATTTTTCAATAAATGACTTATGTAATCGATCATAATTTAATGGATTAAGATCAATACCAAGAGGACATGCAGTATTATTGATAATTGTAGATGCTAAATTTTGATATTGATTATGACAATCAACAGCAAATGATGCAGTGGCAAATAATCCCGTAATTCGACCAAAAAGAATTACATTTGCGAGAATACCAACTACACCCCCCCAACATGAAACACAGAGCAAGAATTATAAGAAGAATATCAATACAATCAGCAAATTGAAACTATCATTAAATGAAATGAATTAATTCGTATATATATAAATGTTATAAAAGAGAAAAACAACATGCTTTCAACTTAATATATATTATATTTGAATATACGTACCAATTGAAAAACACCAACTGGAATATCTTTAGTAGTTTGGTTGATTTCACCATTTAACTTTTTATTGTTAGCATCAGTCTTTTGCTGTTTGAAATATTGACGCCACTCAGAAAA